TAATAATTATCGCTATATTATAAATTTCTTTTCTAGATTTGTAAATACGACCGTGATTAAACACGCAGCCTTTAAAGGCTAAAAAATTTACAATTTATGGTTACAGATATTTTCAAATCGCTGTATCACTTTCTGTGTCTTATTTACTCAATGATTTTGTCGGGATCAGCCGATGAGCACCGAGTTTTGTCGAATGTCGAATATGCTTGAAGAGTAATGGAGTAATATGGCGGCTGTGGCGAAGTTTTCGCCGCCTGTATGAGAAATTTGCATTCGTCGAGATCGAATATTTGACGGCAAACGTTAATTACTGTGTAACCTCGGTCGGGTCACGGTGGTCTAAAATCGTAAGCGATAATTTTTGCGTGTGGTGGCACGTCGAGACAGCCCAATGCGGGTCGCGCGAAATCCCTGTACCGCAAATCATGACTTCGATGTTGTCCAGCTTTAACCCACCTATCGTTAAGCGATTGTTGGGTTGGAAAAAAGCAGAAGGGGAAGATAAATGGAGTGAAAAAGCCGTTAAAAGCCTGGTTAAAAAGTTAAAAAAGTCCGCTGGCCTCGAGGAACTCGAGAAGGCGATTACTACACAAAGTTGCAACACAAAGTGCATTACTATACCAAGGTATGCTTGTGCTTTATATACACTTTTTTTGCGCGTCCATAAATATTGCGATTGATGGTGCTTGTAGTTGTCTTTATTCCTTCTATTTTGTTATCATTTATTCGTCTATGCATTTATTTAATAATACGCATTGTAACGGCGTGAATTTCGTATTTATTTGTATCCTGCAAAGTTGAAGGCTGAAGAATAGAAAACGTTCGCATGTGCTATTTGCCGTTTATGCGCTTGTATATTAGCGCGTATAATGCCACATTGTCTAACAATTAACAGACCGTTTTGTCGTCTCATGGTACGAATAAAAAAATCATTTTCTGTAGTTCTTCAAAAATGTATTTCGCGTCATCCGTAAATGTTTGTAATAATTAGGAAGTTTTTCGTTTGTTTCGAGATGTCTACAATTTCACGTCTCCTTTGATTAAAATACCTCCTGTTTTCAAAATGAAACAATATATAATATCTGATATATTAATTGTTTTAATGATATTGGTTTGATATATTCTGAATCAGCATTTATTGCGATATTTTCGCCTTTCTATTTTTGATAAAAAATATAAAATAAAAAATTTAGTTTCATCAGTGAAGGATTTTAAAAAATCTTATTTACGATAAATGCAAATTGCAAGTGCACACATATACGTACATACATTATGTACACAACAAATAGATGCCAATATTTGTTTATCCTGCACCTGTCATCGCTTCTAGTAGATATTTCATCGAATATAATTTTTCTGACCGCGTTTATAATGAAATTGAATGCATTATCGTTCCCAAAGATATCAAATTTCACTGCACATTATAAATCTTTTGTCATGAGCCTTCTATACATATACAAACTTCATCATCGTTTGTATCCATCGTGCGTCGCGATAAACCTATACTAAAAGTTTATCACGAATCGAATCTGTAAATGTTCATTAACGTACAGGAAAAGTCCACAGATAAATCGTATTTTCACGCGTTTGATGTTTGTTGCAATTCGTTGATAGTATAAATCCATTGTGTGCCGCTGACGTGAAGTTCTATCTGCAATTTCAATGGATCAAATTCGATAAAATCTATATTTTCATGAAGAGCTATTATCTAATTACTGTACGCGGATTAACATGCGCACCACAATAAACACGATATGCGCAATTTATTGTTATATTCTTTGATAGATACGAATACATTACATGATAATCGCGCACAGCGCAAACGTTCATATCTCTTAGAAGTTATGTAATAATCGAAACAGTGATGTGATCACAAACAGAGAAGCGCAATCGCGAGATGTGTAGCAATTCAATATTTGAAATGTCTGAAACGGGATACTTACCATATGTTTAAACGGAATTACTAGATTTATCGGTAGTTTTTCCGATCGCGTGATAAGCAACGAACGATTTCGATCGAAACATTGTGAATGAAATGCACACGTGTGCGTCACATTATTGTGCATTGCTTTAAGACAAGGACGAATCGTAATTACCGCAATTTATTTCGCATTTGTTTCTAAATAAAATAAACCTCGTGTCAATGGAGATCAAAATCTAAGGTTGCAATTTATTGTCGTTTTTCGTCATTCTTCACCGGAATTGATCTTGCATATCGCGATTCGTAAATTGATTAACAGCGTAATACTGGCGACGTCGTTGCTTGTTCAAAGAAAGGCACATTCTTCCTTAATTCAAAATGTAACTGCATTCACATTATTACCATCATCATTTCCCATCATCGGCCGTGAGAAAAACTACCCTCTTATAGTTTTGCGGTTAATCGATAAGATACTATAACATCTCACCTGGAGATTCAACTAGGCTCCGCGACACAGCGTTGGGCATCTTGATTAAATAATTAACTGTGCGGTGAATACGTAATCGTTAACATACGTTTCATTTCGGTCAACACGTGCTCCTGCGCCATCGAAAATGCGATCGCCAAACGAGAAAATTGTATTTGCACACAAAAATTGTAGTGCATAGTTTCATTTCTGCTGTATTTTGTAGATAAATCAGGTGTACATACTTATGAAGACGACTATTGTAGGCTCGGTCTTTCTTGCGAGTGGAGAACGAAACAATTGTTTAGCATCTTCATTTCTTATCCAGTAAATCCCCAGCAAAACATTCATCGTATTAAGAAAATAATATCCGGGTGAAATCGCAGACTTATCGTCTCCCGTGTCTGTCCTTATTTGTTGAGGTAATTAGATCCAACGATAAAAATCAGAGTACTTGTTTCCTAAATATGCTTGTTAAGTGTGTAGAATTGCACGCATTATTAAGAATACTTTCAAGCGCTACTTAGTATGTAGCTACTTATCGTTAGATAAATCAATGTTTACATAATACAATCGATATGGTTGAAAGTATTTAAGTAGAGAATGAAACGACACAGATTTCTCGGAAACCCAGTATTTTCGACGAAAGAAAAGCGTGACTTATGGCAGGCGAAATTACGTAAGTTCGCAGCACTGCCTGTATGTAGATACATACTGTAGTTTCGCATTCAACAGATACGTGTCTACGAATCCTGTCAGCTGTAACAACTATAACTAAAGACTTGGAATTCTCTTTTAAAGAAATAAGAAAAGGAACTAAAAAAAAAATTAATAAATTTTCTACTGCAATTTCTGTTTCAATTTGTATTTACGCGCGCGTGTAGATGCCGGTCAGAGTGAATAAACGCACAGTTCACGTATATAGCGTCCGTTTTCTTTTCTTTCTTTTTAAAATACGCGAGAGCGTATGCAGCTTCTTCTCAGTTTGCCAGCGCAATCGACAATTAAACTCGATTAAGTCGCGTCTCTCGTTTGATGCATACGTGGAAAAAATTTCACGGTGAACGCGACTCGTCGCGTCCTCGACCAACGAGGCAACGGTGCGTCAGCAGGATGACTGAAATTGCAGAAGGAACGAGACCGTGAATCGTTACGTTCCTCCTCATTCTTGAATACAGGAAAACGTCAGCCTCTGGCTAAGAAAATCTGTCAATTCCCCGTTTTAATTTGCAGATAATGGCTGACATCACTTTCTCGCGATCAGCGTAGCCAGTATCCTGCTTTCTAACGACTTCGTTTCCTTCACACTAAACGAATTATCAAAATCCAACCTCCGTCGTACATATTAAATGCTCTATCGGTTGATTACTGCTCAATTGCTTCATCGAACTGTATACTTCAATATAGTGGAGCAATATGCTTCCAAAACGGACGATAAACTGATTTAGTATTATATTATTATATTATCATCGAATTCAGTATTTATTGTTTTCTAGTTATCGCACGAAACGATATGTAAGATCAAATGTAGCATCCGTTTCAATCCGTTCAAGAATTATCCAGAGTGTGTTCGTGTTATCTTTTATCAGTGAGGCCATGTACTACAAAATTTCATTTCTTGCGTGAGCTTTGTATGCCATCATTGAATCTCGTAATTCCCAGGTACTTTCTTTCGCGTATGCTTGTTTAGTGAGATAAATTCAAAAATTTAGATTGAGATTGTGATCAGTATTGTACAGAAAATTGTTATATAAAATCGCGCGCTAAGATTTCTGAATTATTATATAAGTGAGAGGAGAGTCGAGCAATTGCAATTGAGGGTCACACGTGCGCGGATTATACGTAACGAAACAGATAGGCAGAGAAAGTGAACAATAGGAAACGGAAAAGGATCAGTAGCCGTGAATTGTGAATGCGAACTCCTTGAACACGATGAAAATGCATTTAAATATTAAGGAATATGTTCTCTTTTTTTTCTCTCTGATGCAAGTCAACCAATCTTATTATTAGCAGTTGATTGCGAGTTGATTCCAATAAGAATAGGTAGAAAGATCACGAATGTTTTGATGATTGAGCAAGTTACGCCGAGTTACCCTTGCTGGGAGAAAAGCATCCAACCGAATGTACCGCGGTATACAGTTTCTTTTCATCGGTAGGCGCCAACGTTTCCGGTACGGCAGACGCGAACACAGAAAGAGACAAAGAGCAAAGAAAACGGGAGGAAGTTGTTCGGAAGTGTACATTAAAGAGAGAGAGTTTTACGGGTGTCGCGACAAGCGCGCGTCTAACTTAAACTGCAATACTTTTATTATGCTACTCTGCGTTTGCAATACTTACATCTAGAAGCATTTAGTATTGGATGAATAATCGAGTTGGATTTGTGGAATCGATTCGATTAATGCTATCAGAAAATCACAATGAGAATATTGTTTATGAAGACAAACGATTTAAGTTTATGAAACTACATATTTAGTCTTTAAATGTTAGTCATTCATGAATCAGGTTTAAATTTCTTTGTTATAAACGAATAGGCCTAGCCCGGGTGGTGTCGGCGACAACGGTGTCCAAGGAGTACGCGGTAAAGGTTTACCGCACGTGATCTACTGCCGACTTTGGCGCTGGCCAGATTTGCAGTCGCACCTCGAGTTAAGAGCGATTGAGCATTGCGAGTACGCTTTTACGCAGAAACGGGACGAAGTCTGCGTCAATCCGTACCACTATCAACGAATACAAACGCCAGGTAAGCGGATTGCCCGCGCTTCATTCAAAGTTTGCGCGCGATCCAGTTCTAAAAGCGTTCCATGATTGACTCGATCAATTTCCATGTTCACGAGCGAAATATATGTTCGTGGAATTTTCTAGTTTTACCACCAATACTCGTGCCGCGGCATAACTTAGCTGGGGACGAGTCCGTCCTGTATAATACTTCCCTTGAGGAGCGAAGCGTCAGCGTGCCAGAGAATACGAATTTCCACGCGACGTTGAATCACCAACATCATAATCAACAGAATATACCGCAATCTCCGCAACAGCAACAGCAACAGCAGCAGCAGCAGCAGCAACAGCAACAACAGCCGAACAATCCCTATCAAGGAATGCAAGTCAGTATCAAGGAATTAGTAACAAAGATAAGAATCGATAAGAAGAAACGAAAATCATTGTTCGTTTGTGTTTTAATTAGAATATGCAGGCGACGAGTCCAGCTAGCGTCGGGAGTCTAGGAAGCGTTCAGGGTTCACCGCATCCGACGCCTGGATCCATGGATCCTCCTGCCGACACTCCGCCGCCAGGATATATAAGTGAAGATGGTGATAACATGGATCACAACGACAATATGTCTTTGTCGCGTTTGTCACCTAGCCCCGTCGATGCACAGCCGGTCATGTATTGCGAGCCAGCGTTTTGGTAAGCATACGTTCTACAAATTAATTATTATAATTCCCTCCCGCTTTCTGAATATTTTTGTTCGCAAATGAATAACAATTTATATCGAGGATCAATCTTTACATTTGTTTTATATTTTGTTTGGTAAAAGGTGTTCGATAAGTTACTACGAATTGAATACGAGAGTGGGTGAAACCTTTCACGCGTCAGTACCGAGTATGACGGTAGACGGATTCACAGATCCCAGCAGCTCTGAACGTTTTTGTTTGGGTTTATTATCGAACGTTAATCGTAATTCCGTGGTCGAGCAGACGAGACGACATATCGGGAAAGGAGCTAGATTATACTATCTTGGTGGCGAGGTATTCGCTGAGTGTTTATCCGACTCGAGTATCTTCGTGCAGAGTCCCAATTGTAATCAACGTTACGGTTGGCATCCAGCTACTGTTTGTAAAATACCACCCGGTAAGTTCTATCGGTTCTCACTCCGTTCGACTTTCAATCACAAAAAGGGACTCATCATTTTGTCTTTGTGGTCTTCGTCTTGCAGGCTGTAATTTGAAGATCTTCAATAATCAAGAATTTGCTGCGCTGTTATCGCAGTCAGTTTCCCAAGGATTCGAGGCAGTATATCAGTTAACGCGAATGTGTACAATTAGGATGAGCTTCGTAAAGGGCTGGGGAGAGGCGTATCGTCGACAAACCGTGACATCGACTCCCTGTTGGATCGAGTTGCATTTAAACGGGCCGTTACAGTGGCTCGATCGTGTACTCACGCAAATGGGATCGCCGCGTTTACCTTGTTCCTCGATGTCATAAGGTTGTATACATTTTTCCTTCATGGATGCAGGAAAATGTAGGGACGATTAGCTATCCTTGTCGTTGTTGTCATCGTGTAGATCGGTTTTTTCTGTACTATGAATTCATCATTTTATCCGAATTCTTTACAACCGGCATCGGCTACAGTGACAAAATAGTGCAAGAAGGAGGATACGCATGCTGGCGTCGAAAAGTACATGGCTGAACAGGACCGATTTCGAAGTCTCGGAGGCGGCATTCGATCGAATGAACGAGAAAAAAACTGGCTTTAGGAAAGTTTAAGTGCTCAAATTGTGCGATGTTACGTAAGAAGGAAAGACGATGTTCGAGCAAAGAAATGTCAGCGAAAGATTAATTTATCGCGGATACAAAAAAATTTCTTCTTGGGTTCGAAACGTCATAATTCGTAGATATTGTTGGCACAGTTATCACACTACCACGTGAATGTATCGCTTTACAACCTGATCAGATTTATGAAATCTGATTTTAAATTGAATAACAAACAGTGGAAAAGAGAGCGTACATGTACATATGTACACACCGGATTTTTTCCTTTACTCTTTATAGGTGTATTCTGAATGAACGGGAACGTGGGAGAAAAGAACATAATTCTAAATCTTAAAGTTGCTTGTCGAGAAATTCTAGTTCAGAAATTCGTTAAATACTTGGAAATTTAGCTAACTTTTTCAGCAATTAATTTCACGTGTACTCGTCAGATTTTCACAGTCGTGAAACTGCGTCTCACATGAAAAACTTTTATTGTACATGTCCGATCTATTTTTGCATCTAAAATAATCTCTTAGAAGATAGAATGCTGTAATCGATTAAAAGTGGCTAAATTTTGAAGGAATTAACAAAATCATTAAGTTCGATTTTTTTTACAACCGTCTTACAATTAAACGAAAAAATGTGTTTTTCTCGACATACTTTTACTACTTCTAGAACTCTGTAGCAAAATGTGAGGAAAACAGACATTCTGTGTATACATACTGACTTCAATCGTACATGCGTTCCTATCCAATCATACGTAAATGATATATGTATATGTACCGGGGGCTCAGCCGCTGCATATTTTTATCGCTTGTTATATCATTCACTTCAGTGGTACGGTATACGTCAGTTCTTGCAATACAGTAATATTGTACATTCATACACGGTTTGTAATATGCTGAAAAGAGTTTCTCTTAAGAACAGATTGACAAGCCGATTACAATGTTTCTAACATCTACTGGTCTATTCGGAACCTTTGTCTGTACTTCTCTTTAGCTTGAGAGTAGAAAAAATGTGAAATGTACACATCAATTTTTGTTAAGTGGTCATAAGGGAAATGAAGACTCACAGTGTTCAATATGTGCTATTTATACATTCTCTCGAATGGACCAGAACGTTCAAGTATTTTCTCGATGGACCGCATTAGGTGTCGGATAGACATGTTTTAACATGTTTGGAAGTTTTATGAATGATGAATAAACATGTAGAATGGGCAGAGTTCGAACAGCATTTCTTTTTCGGGAACGGTAAACTGGAAAAATATTACGTATATAAGGTGTCTTATCTCGGATAATTGATATTCTTATTAAGAATAAGCGCTATATTTCTTAACATTGATAGGAGTACTAAGCGCACGAAGTCTATAGTAAACAGAAATGTCTATTTATTTGATATCGTACCGGGAAGATACCGGGTTCAGAAAATTATATACGTACGTTCACATATGTATATTTGCTATCGAGCGTCGGGAAACTTATGCGAAGCAAACGTTAAAATGCACATTTCGGTGTTGATGTTCAATGTAGCGAACCACTCGTTAGCTATGAATCGTTGCAAAGGTGTTCGGCTCGTCGTGTAAGGGTCATGAACCAACCGTTTCGTACAAGAGAGGTATACACGAGTTTGTATGCGAAGAATGATGGATTCGATTGCTGTAAGCTTTGATAAAGAATTATATAGTTGAAATTGTCTTATGAGATTTTATACTGAGATGTACGAGAAACGCATTCAACTTTCGAGAAGAATATGTAAGCATATGAAAATTTTATCACGAACGGAATGTAACAAGAGAAAATGATAGTCTGGCCTTGAATGTGGGATGCTTTAAGATATATCAGGTATACATATATTGTTTCTATACTATTCTAAATTTATTTATGAATTGTTTCGTGATTGAATGTATTAAAAGAAGTTTCTATTTTATTGCAGATTTTATATAAGATATTTCATATTCGAGAATAACTAAAAGAAAAAGGAATACGATTAAAAAAAAGAAAAAGTCGGACGTCTTTCACGTAGAACGTACGAAAAAGGAATGAGATAAAAAAGTTATGTATTTTATTATATTACGAGATATATACACATTAGTGTCGATCGATACGCGAACAGTCTTTGCACCAAGTGCATGGATTCAGTTTTTTTTTTAACGAATAAATTTTTAAATATAAATTTTATACACGATTGCTATGGAATCTTTAAGTATGTATAGGGGCCAATTACACGCACAGGATGTGAAATTCGATCTCTCTAAAAAAACGTCAAACATTTTGGAAAATCGGTTTCATCTTATATATTTTTTTGCCAGTGTCGCTCATTTCATAATACATATTTACGATTAACTCTCAGAAAGAAAGTGACGAACAAATTATTTAATTTAATTATCATGTGCATGAAACGCCAAGAAGAAAGAAATAAGAGAAATTTCTTTTGTTAATAAGTAAAGGAATGCCGTAAACGTAACTGCAATCTATTTTTTAACATTGCCTCAATCGTATCGGTGCCGAAAGATTACGTGCTAAGTTTTAAAATCACTTTTACGAAAAATTAAGCTTTAGATACATTTTTCACGATGCTTTCAAAGTTTTTTATATGTACTATACAGCTAAACGGTATTTTTATTATGTTGCTTTTCTCCTGTTTACTTCTTTTTACGAACTATATCCTTTATTATATCTTTTTTATACATATACATATAACACGATCAAGGGATACGATGGTTTGGCGGCGACGATTCGTAAACTTGCCGAACCAATGTCTACGATGTTCGAACAACTATTTCGGAAAGAATATATATCTATAACGAGGAATAAATAATCTGAGTAGTAGCTATGGAAAGACGCAATTAAAGTAAAACGCAAGATTTAAGTGATATCATTAATCTATTAATTTCTCGTTAGGGACGCGTTCGTCTTTCACGAGGAGGTTTCATTCTTTTAATCGACATGTAAGGTTGATGCCGTGTAAATAAATGCAACTCGTAAAAGTCGAACGCGATATCGTCGGGCAGCTCGAACGAAATTTAAGGAAAAAATGCTAATTGCCGATATTAGATGCACATTTTGGACTCGTGCTAATCGGTACCGTTCCCGCACAAAAATATAATTACTGAAAGAGAAACGAAAAGAATTTCGAAACGTCAAATTTTTTGACAGACCACTTGTTTCCCTGCCAGACTGCCATTAGTATACTAGCTAAAATAAAATACGAACAGAGGAATCGAAGAATTCGCCATTCGTCTTTCTTCGTCGTCCTCAAATTCCTATTCGTTCGTTTTACGTTAGCATAAGATCAAAATATGATCAAGGAGTTCCATGGAGAGGCATAGCACGTATTTTCTTTTAACAGAATAAAGGAACGATGCAGAGTACGGACTTTTTTTATTACAATGTAATTAAATATTTTCATCGGCTGTACCGCTTTTCCTCTGACCTCCTTGATTCATCTACATCGGTGAAAGAAGAAACAGAGCATTGAGAGACGCGTTTAATTTGCCAAAGTATGTTAAGCGTAGCAATTGCCAAAGTTGTTTTTTTATAAGTACAAGAACGTCGATTAATTATAATAGTCGAGATTCACGCGCGCACGAATCGTTCAATTATCAGCGCTGTTGTTTATAGAGCATGTTACATAATTAGAATGGACGCTATCACAAATTTAGTAAGAGATAGAAAAGAATATATTGTTCGGCGGCGCATATAATTTGATATAAATGATTTCTAGGTAAAGATGCAGAGAAAAGTCACTGACCTCATTTTGTTTTGTTTAATGATCCCTTGACGCTCTCATCTAGTTCTAAGAATCATTTGTATCAAATAATGTGTCGTCCCGAAACCATTCACCTTTTTACTCCAATACCAATACTTTTTTCTATCTCTTTTTAAGTTCGAGATACAATTCATCCTTTGTATGTGACACCTTTTCTATATCTACATACTTCTTTCCTTGAAAAATTCTTTAAATTGTTACCATTGTTAATTGCGTCGTATCGTTGATCATCGTTATGTTTTATCCTTCAGTTTTATTGCAAGGTATATTCACAGCGTGTCTTGACCCGCCGAATAATTGAGCGGTCCGACGATCACGAATCTTTTAATTCTATAGCTTATACTTATGTATCTTGTGTGCTGATAAACCGCGTGCATAAAAGGGAAGGATCGACTAAAAAATGATAATTTCTAGAAATCCGATATTTTTTTACATGATTAAAGAAACGTGAAATTCATTTAACGAGCGATGTGTCAGCAATTTAATCTCGTCGATCGTTTCCCTGTGTGCATAAAATCATCTAAATGAATAACGGAACGAAAGATTGAGAGATTGATAGAATGCATGTGTCGAAGAATAAAGACGAGATATGTTACATGAGAATATCGAGTGTGAGGTTGTATAAATAAATAAATAAATGTACATGTTAAGTCTAATAAATATGAATTTGTTGCTTTTACTAGTCCTCGGTGGCGAATAGATTAAAACGAAGTCACGATATTTAAAAAGAACACGTAAATATGACATCTTTGTTTAGTGTCCTAACATCTACATGTTACAATTCAATGCTTAGATAAGTGATAACATTTTACTAAAAGAACGTGAACAAAATTTGGGGAATTAGAGGACAGGTAAAAAACATAAAGTCTACACATAAAAATTTGTTGATAACTTGCATGGCAAAATGTTTGTATCATCGACTACGACAAAATGAATACAATCTATACAAGTGTACAATGTTGTGCTTATACAACTTAACAATCAGCGTTCGTGAAGTATTTTGCAGCAACAATCGCAATGAACCATTGATGACATTCTTAAAATAAGTTTTTACAAATCGATTACCGTCCAATTCATTCTTCAGTCTCGCACAATTTATCAAACAAATAAAGAAGCTTCTAACACAATTGGCTGATTTACATCCAAGCGTATTACTCGATTCTTAAGTATACTTTGTGTATTTAAAATCTCTTCGGAAAATCTCGAGATGAGTACTAAAATACAAAATCACGTGTACATTTAACATGCTTAGACGAAAATCAATCATGATGATAGTTAAAACATCCAAATGACACAAGATTCTTGATGTCGGATGCAAATTGCAATTATAAAGAAATACTCCGATTTGGCCGATATTTCAACATTCGATGACAAACTTTCGTCGCAGGACACGGATTTACGATGATCAGATTAGATGAATCATTTTAACGAAAACCCTTCCTTCTCGACCTCTCTTTGGAATTGATTTGTTGCTGCTGATTTGTACGACGTTGTTACAAATGACCATGGTGTTTAGAGCTCAGCATCTTTCTCACAGAAAATATGCTCATAGATAAGCCGACAGTCGCAAGAATAAATGCGGACGTTGTGATATTACGTTCAACCATATTCTTACGGAACACGGACGATACGGCTCCCTACAAAAATTAATTAACATCATACAGGATTGTTATAAAACATTGAATGATGACAGAATATATTCTATGACGATTATTGATTCGTTGACCGTAAACAATAAATAAACTACAAGTGAATTAAAGAAACCGTAATATTAACAACGATTGCACAACTGATTGTGAAACAGTTATTTTAAACGCTTGTAAGTTCACATTACCTGCTGAAAGGATAATCTGAGAGCATAGAGGGTGGCAGGAGTCAGATACATCTCTATAACCAAGTCTTTGCTTCGTACTCTAAAAAAAGAAGAAGCGTATCACATTTATATGTACAATAGGTTACATAACACAAAAGCATCAACGTTTCAATACGAAGGACATTTAAAACTGGACCACATCCAAAGCTATGCTTGTCGATTTGACTGGCGCCGCTCGTTTCAAACCCGATCAACTTTTTATTTAATTGATTCTTGCGTTTGATTTCAAAAAGGTTAACGTCGATTGCTTAGTTTATTACTTCATCCGAATTATTCTACGTATTATATAGAATATAGATTTTTGTTACGTATTATTTTGTTTCACTTTTTTTTTAAACAAACAAATTTCATCGAAAAATTTTAAAATACCAAGAGGGATGAAATATATGAACTTCATTGAAACTGCATTGATAAGAAATGACGAACGCGTGCGTTTCTTTGGAAAAATGTTATTGCGCGTATCAAGATAGCATAAATCTATTTCTTTTTTTCTGTCTATTTGATTAATTTCATAATGATTACATTACTACAGACAGGCGTCTATGAACGTCAATGACATTTTATATCTGCAATGTTAAAAATCAAGACTCCAGTATCAAATATTCCTTAGTTTGAATATGCAGCATAAACTGGTTCTAAATTATAATACATCATTCTATTTTTTAAAATTTTTCATGACATATTTTCAGCTACAGAACTGCATAATAAAATTTCATTTTACTCATGAACGTAGTGCAGCAAGTGCATACATACATGTGAATGTTACATGGCATGAAAAATGAACTAACTTATGTAAGCTGTATGCAATGAACTCTGTTTCGTTTTACAATTGTTAGTTACAATGATGTTTCTGTTATAAAGAGGATTGTAAAATTGAGGGATAATCGAAACAACTTAGTTTCAATTTTATCGGAGAGCATTGTATTTAATACGATTGCATTTGCGTCTGCAATACGACTGCATGTATCGTACCATTGATCCACGCCTTCACTTTATTAAAAATATACAAATAACTAATAAATATACTAATAACTTTATGATACGAGATCCATTATTGAAAATTTTGGATTTAATTTTATCTGAGTGTGTAATTCAAATAAAACGATGCAATTTAATAATTATTCTGCCATGAGGAACTGCGTTGTACGATTAACCTATAACTTTTTATTGGAATGGTTTTAACAGAAAATAACAACGGTTAATAAAACTGTAATACATTAAACAAAGTACTGGTTATCAATTATAAGGAATTGTTTCAACGTTTTATCAACGTAAAGTTTACGAAACAACTTATGTCTTTTAATGATCGTTTCAGGTAATAAGAGAATAAACGGAGTGGTACTTCCCTCTTACATAATCAATAATATGTTATTACGAATAATAACGAACGCGTGCGTTTCTTTGGAAAAATGTTATTGCGCGTATCAAGATAGCATAAATCTATTTCTTTTTTTCTGTCTATTTGATTAATTTCATAATGATTACATTACTACAGACAGGCGTCTATGAACGTCAATGACATTTTATATCTGCAATGTTAAAAATCAAGACTCCAGTATCAAATATTCCTTAGTTTGAATATGCAGCATAAACTGGTTCTAAATTATAATACATCATTCTATTTTTTAAAATTTTTCATGACATATTTTCAGCTACAGAACTGCATAATAAAATTTCATTTTACTCATGAACGTAGTGCAGCAAGTGCATACATACATGTGAATGTTACATGGCATGAAAAATGAACTAACTTATGTAAGCTGTATGCAATGAACTCTGTTTCGTTTTACAATTGTTAGTTACAATGATGTTTCTGTTATAAAGAGGATTGTAAAATTGAGGGATAATCGAAACAACTTAGTTTCAATTTTATCGGAGAGCATTGTATTTAATACGATTGCATTTGCGTCTGCAATACGACTGCATGTATCGTACCATTGATCCACGCCTTCACTTTATTAAAAATATACAAATAACTAATAAATATACTAATAACTTTATGATACGAGATCCATTATTGAAAATTTTGGATTTAATTTTATCTGAGTGTGTAATTCAAATAAAACGATGCAATTTAATAATTATTCTGCCATGAGGAACTGCGTTGTACGATTAACCTATAACTTTTTATTGGAATGGTTTTAACAGAAAATAACAACGGTTAATAAAACTGTAATACATTAAACAAAGTACTGGTTATCAATTATAAGGAATTGTTTCAACGTTTTATCAACGTAAAGTTTACGAAACAACTTATGTCTTTTAATGATCGTTTCAGGTAATAAGAGAATAAACGGAGTGGTACTTCCCTCTTACATAATCAATAATATGTTATTACGAATAATAGGAAAAAAGCGACGGCATTACGGTTAATTTCATACGGATATACGTGTCGGGTTAAAATACCTACCGTCTTGTGCGAAACTTGCCAATGAAAGAGACGATCACCGAAGCCGCGCGTACCTTCCTCCAAGTTGTTTTCTCACCACTGCTAATCACTGCCTGCCGATTCTGTAAATTTTAGGCACTCTTTTTGGCATGCGCTCTGCCATCTTTAACATGTTACAAGAATTATGCGTATTGATCGTGCAATTACCATACAATGGTATGCAGTCACGAACAGCATTCTATAAATTAGCCGACAGATATCGCTATATTACACTTTACATGCCCGCGTTTTAAAACATGTAGTACAAATTTGTACCTAATTAGCATATAGCAGATATAATTAATTACAATAGTATGTAAAATGTATTTATTTCCCAATTAACTTTTACCTGAGCCCAACAGCTTTATGAACCTCATGATTTTTTTCTTTAATAAACGAAGTGTTCCAGTTTGCGCATTACTTTTATATTATTCAGCAATCACCTTCCTGGTTAAATGATTAAGTTCATCGGAGAAAATAGCTATACAATGACGCACGGTTCCGTTTTATCTCGCACTCATTTCCGTGAGATGCCACATATCCTCCAGTCTCGCCCAGTTATCCGTACAATTACTGTCTCTCTATTTCATTCTAAAGTAACATTAAAAAAAAAAAACAGAAGCGATGACTCGTTGGATATTTCTCTTCTGGATTCAATTATTTACGGTAGTACTTTGCGAGTACAAAGATTCGGAAAGCTTCTGCGCCGCACAGCAAACTTGCAAATACTGTTTGCGAACTCCGCGCTGCGTTTGGTGCTCCACTCCGGTAATAATTACTCTTAAAATGTTAACGAAAATTGATAGAGAATAGTTGTGAGAACAGTAACAATGACTGGTTGTTGACTCAGGTATCTAATCAGAATGTGAGTGGTCCGCTGGTTCGCTGTGTCACGAGACAAAAATTTTTGAACGAAGGCGATCACTGGTGTAAAAAATCGGATGTGATAGATGCAGCTAGTACGATGATTTTGCTCGAAGATCAGCCGCTGTCTTCTGCAAAAGGCAGAGATCCTGTTCAAGTTCAACCTCAGCGAGTTCAATTACGACTCCGGCGAGGAAAGTATCATTGTTTCTATTTAAAAGATATTAGTTGCAATCGACTGGTTCAATCTACAGGCGAAGAATACCGATTGACCGTTAAGTACAGCCAAGCGGAGGATTATCCTGTGGACCTGTATTACCTGATGGACTTATCGGCCTCCATGGAACGTCACAAAGATCAATTATCGAAACTGGGACTTCAACTTGCGGAAGCTATGAGGAAGCTCACTTCGAACTTTCGTTTGGGATTCGGCAGCTTTGTGGACAAGGTTGAACTGCCTATGACCAGTACGCAACCGGAAAAGTATGGATCTTAAAAATTAATCCTACATACCGTTGGAAAATGTTTTACGATTTTCTAAATAAATTGAACATCACGTTTTTATAGATTAAAATCGCCATGCACTTTGAGCGAAACGAAAAAACCTTGCGCCTCTCCTTATGGTTACAAGAACCAGATGCCTCTTACCGAGAACTTAAAATCTTTCAAAGTAATTACGGTTTCGTTGTACCCACTTTTTGTATTCGGATGCTAAAATTGTAGAATTTATTTTCGAAAGATTTTCATGCTATCATTTCGCGATTTTAATACAGACTTTTAAGTGTTTTTCAATGGTCTAATCGATTGCTTTTTGAGTTAGAGTCGCGTACAAGAGGCACCAGTGTCTGGTAACTTGGATTCGCCTGAGGGTGGTTTAGACGCGATGATGCAAGCTATGGTTTGCACCAAGGAAATTGGCTGGAGACAGAACGCTCGACGTCTCATAGTTTTCTCAACGGATGCCGGCTATCATATCGCCGGTGATGGTAAAGTACGTTCTTGCATTTCTTGTTTCTGTTAAACGTTGGAGATGTTTGAATTTGATCGAAAGAATATGAATTCGATAAAACAACATGCAAACCGAATGTATTCTAGCTTGCGGGTATCATCGAACCGAATGATTGTCTTTGTCATTTGGATGAGAAAGGATTTTATACGCACTCGCTCCTTCAGGATTACCCATCCGTGTCTCAAGTATACAAATTTCCTTTTGTAACAATCTAATTATTCATAAATAGTGACTCTTTATGATCTTTAAATTCAGATTAACAAAATAGCACGCGAGCGCAATATAAACATCATATTCGCGGTTATTGGTAAGAAGAATTCGACTTATCAGTCGTTGAGTCAAAGGATTAGCGGCTCTTCTATTGGAACTATAGAACGTAATTCCCAGAATGTAGTTGCACTCGTCAGTGGGGAGTACGAGGTATAGATTTATAATCGTCCTAAGCCTATGATAATTTCCTATTAGTAGTTCTAATGATATTTTTAGAAACTGGTTAACTCTATAACAATGACAGACGATGCACCGAAAACGATAGACGTGAAATATTTCTCGCGATGTTTAGAAGAGAACGGTGAACTGAAGGAACGACGAGAGTGCGGAGGATTACGAGTAGGAAATATCGTCGAATTCGAAGTAACGTTGCAGGTGCGCACCCGCGAAAATGATAAAATCGTAAAATAGTTAATTATGAATTATTATTGAAAATAGGCGACTGAATGTTCTGCGAATTCTAACGAATCGCAGACGATTATACATATTAAACCAAGAGGCTTAAATGAAAGTTTGACCGTCGATTTGAACATTATTTGCGATTGCCCTTGCGAGCACCCAGGCCATCCGGTAAGAATTTTGTGGATAGCGTTTTAGTTTACAAGTCAGTACAATTCTCTCGCGCGTCTCGAATGAAAACGCAGGGATACGTCGCGGATTCGGAAGATTGCAGAGGGAACGGCAGCCTAGTTTGCGGTGTATGCTCGTGTAACTACGGGTTTTACGGGAAGCAGTGCGAATGCGAGGGTAACGAAGCCGGGGCCGAGAGCACAGCTGCCATGGCTGATTGCAAGCCCGACAACGAGACTACGGAAATCTGCAGCGGTCACGGTACCTGCAAATGTGGCGTTTGCGATTGTGCGAAGCGTCCGAATCCGCAGGAAGTATTCTACGGGAAATACTGCGAGTGCGATAATTTCTCTTGCAAACGCAGCGGAGGCTTGGTAAATGAACGCTCTCGCTAACGACGCGACGATCAGGCGAATGAGTCGTGTTATACATGTTGTATTCCATGCGACTTTGCTTCAAGGTTTGTGGCGGGCGCGGTAAATGTGAATGCGGTACTTGCAATTGCTTGCCGGGTTGGGGCGGTGAAACATGCGACTGCAAAGAGACGAATAGCACATGTATGGCTAGTAACGGCGAGAACACAGAGATTTGCAGCGGACGAGGTGACTGCGTTTGCGGTAGTTGCCTCTGTCATGAAAAGGACAATATCCGATACTCGGGGCAATACTGCGAAGAATGTCCTGTAAGTTTCCTTTCTTCTTTTAAAAGGTACCTTACGGTCATCGATTTTGATCTCATTCTCAGATATGTCCCGGACAACGATGCGAGGAATTGAAGAACTGCGTGGAATGCGTGGTGCATAATGCCGGGCCTTACGCTGAAGGCGGAAAGTGCGACCAATGTTTGCACCAAATTGACATTGTGAGAAATTCTTACAATTACTGCTGTGAACAGCTCTTGTAGATTATTCGGTTAGCAGAATGTCTGTAAGGATTTCTTTTGGACGAAACAGGTAAAGAAGGTGGAGGAAGATCCGGAGAAAGATCAAGATACCGGAGCTCACGTTTGTCGAATCACAGGCGACACTGGGTGCACGTTCGTGTTCAAGTACGAATATTACAGAGGCGGTAGTGGTGGAGATATTAAGATATTTAATATTATCGCTGAGAAAGAGAGAACGTGTCCTAAGCCTATTAATGTTGTCGGTGAGAAAGCAGTTGTGTTAAACCCGACGCAATATTTGATGGGAAATGCATTTAAACGATCCTATTTGCAGGTGTTGCCGTCGGATTAATAGTCAGCACCGTGATCATCGGTTTCTTGATTCTTCTCGTTTGGAAAATATTGACTATGATTCACGACAAGCGGGAGTTTGCGAAATTTGAAAAGGAACGAGCTATGGCCATATGGAGAACGGTAAGCACTTTCAATTTTCTGTCGCGTTCGCCTCACTTCTTTTAATATTAATATCCATATAATCATTTAATTTAGGGGGCGAATCCGCTGTATAAACAAGCCACTTCAACGTTTAACAATCCGACGTTCCAAGCAGATAATAAGAATTAAATTTTAAATGCAATTTCGCGAGCGCAAGATACATAAATATTTTCCTACAAGCGCACGCTTACTTAGATTGAACATACGCAGTGTATACACATGTTCTGACAAGTAGCGCCGCATGAGCGGAACAAGAAGACGCTATCTTGGCTAATTGCTTTGCAAGTAGACAATGCTCTCATCTGATACCAAACATACTGCTTACTTCGAGTTCACTTCAAATATTTATTTTAATAAATTCGATAAATCGGTTTATGACGTAGATACAAACGAAGACTAAAGAAATTAAATTCATGTAAGAAATATTCCTGAAACCCTTATACTTAAAACCTGATATTCTCAACATACTCTGGTCCGATTTTTATATTAAGTGGATTCGAAGAAAAGACCAAGTCTACACTTGTAGTTCTTCGTTTGATATTATTTTCAAACGACAAACTTTGGATCATTTTCGGAGATTATATTTTGAAAATGACACCTAAGAAAATAGCGACTTGCTCTTTGTGCGTTCATCAATAATAATTATTAGATACAATGACTAGCTGGAATTATAAATAGTCTACAAGTGATTTTCAAATATGTTCGCGTCTGATGAACAGAAAACAGGTGCAGTAATTAACACACGTTTTGCTTATGCAAGAAACAAAAAGATAGGCAGAAGAATATTGATTGGATAATGATTGAATTTCATTTATACGAGGATGAAATACTGCGGATTGATTTATAAACTTGATGTTACAATATGCCTCCACGGTGAATACTATTACCAGGAAATAGGATCAGAATGATCAGAGGAGAATGGACAAGACGCGGGCCGATTACTCGTAAATCAATTTTAAATTCGATCGCGAGCATCTTGCGTGGGGCTAGGTCCTGGCCTTTTCGGCCGATTGTTTCGAATAATCCTCTAAGCTCGTACTTTATTGCTCGCTATGCTCGAAGAGGGCAGAGCTCGTAAGGAGCTCGTAAATTCGTCACCATGCTTGGCTCCTGCCGCAAAACCCTCCGGCGACCCGCTGTATTTCCCACCAGAGAAACTTAAAGCTCTGTCCACATCGAATCTACTCATACGGTTTAATTACGAGACAATCGATTATTTCTAAGGACGTCTGTTGCGCTGGTGCTTGTTACACGGATAAAGGCAGTCTACACTTGTAGTTCTTCGTTTGATATTATTTTCAAACGACAAACTTTGGATCATTTTCGGAGATTATATTTTGAAAATGACACCTAAGAAAATAGCGACTTGCTCTTTGTGCGTTCATCAATAATAATTATTAGATACAATGACTAGCTGGAATTATAAATAGTCTACAAGTGATTTTCAAATATGTTCGCGTCTGATGAACAGAAAACAGGTGCAGTAATTAACACACGTTTTGCTTATGCAAGAAACAAAAAGATAGGCAGAAGAATATTGATTGGATAATGATTGAATTTCATTTATACGAGGATGAAATACTGCGGATTGATTTATAAACTTGATGTTACAATATGCCTCCACGGTGAATACTATTACCAGGAAATAGGATCAGAATGATCAGAGGAGAATGGACAAGACGCGGGCCGATTACTCGTAAATCAATTTTAAATTCGATCGCGAGCATCTTGCGTGGGGCTAGGTCCTGGCCTTTTCGGCCGATTGTTTCGAATAATCCTCTAAGCTCGTACTTTATTGCTCGCTATGCTCGAAGAGGGCAGAGCTCGTAAGGAGCTCGTAAATTCGTCACCATGCTTGGCTCCTGCCGCAAAACCCTCCGGCGACCCGCTGTATTTCCCACCAGAGAAACTTAAAGCTCTGTCCACATCGAATCTACTCATACGGTTTAATTACGAGACAATCGATTATTTCTAAGGACGTCTGTTGCGCTGGTGCTTGTTACACGGATAAAGGCATATCAAGGAATGCGACAAAACTGTTGACGTATTCAGCATGCGATCGCTGTTATAGCTGTTATTACTCAATATCAGTTATTTAACGAGTTTATTAATTCTAGTGACATGCAACTTAGCGTCTCTCTTTAAATCAATCACGCACATTATTAAACGTTTCATACACCAGTAATAATACATGAATCTTTACGTCCTGCATTTTTTATAGAAAATTTTGTATTCGTTAGTACGCAAAGCAGATTGTTACGTAATTAGTTTATAATAAATTTGGCGAAGCGAGAATCGTATAATCGTGAGTGTTTGTTAGATGTTCGAGGTGGTACTGAGGGTATTTTACTCGAGTAGTATTTCAGTGTGTATTATACCTAAAGATAACGCAAAAAAGAGAGAATAGCGGAGAGAGCCGATGCTCCGCATACTAAATCACTGCCGCACGTCCGTTTCTTTACATTGAACAGATTTTATTGATTATTTTACGGCCGGGAACATTGTAAATCTCTTCATTCTGTATCGGCATGTCTCTCACCTCGGCGATGCTCCCATCGGGTGCCTATGGCGCCAATTACGCGAGTCGAACAGTATTGTTGTCGTATCCGTTCTCATTTGTCGGGCACAAAGTCGCCGATACTACTATTTTTTATTCATCATTCTTTCCAACGAATCCTAGAAAGAGAGATTTTCCATCTAATTACTTAATTTATTTAAGGTTGCATGAACCGTAAGATCCCTGCCAAAAGTTCAAGAAATGTGATAAAAGTTATGTCCAATACGTGAAACGATAAGCTAGAAAATATTATACATATTTACAATTTTTAACTGATAATATTCCCAAAGAGAACGTTTCAAATATCTGTTAATATAAGAATGGAAAGTCGATTTTTGGAGATTCATATTTTGCACCGGATTTTCCGGGTTATCGATGAAACACAACAAAAAACGTCAAAGAACGTCCAAACCGACAAATATTAAAAAAATCACGTGACCTAGCTTCGAGAAAAAAAACTCGTGGAATATTAAAATTTATATCGTTCAAAAAAATTGAATACATTAGTATATGTTGAAACAGTTTGACTTTATGTTCGTTAAACAATGTTGTTCATTTTCGCGGTTGCTAATGGCCGCCGCTGGGACCTTAATTACGGCCAAATACGGCCCAATCAGCCCTTGGGGGCCGGCGATGTCAGCTCATTTCAAGCTTTTAAACCGTTCGGCATATTGTCAGGTTCAACCTCTCCACAGCCTTTCTTTTCCTCTTAGCGTATCTTTTCTGACTTATCCAGATGATTATACACACTACATGTACATATCTGCATATGCTATCGTGCATTCTGGGACGCCAGAAATCTCACCTAGGTCTACTTTGTTTTCTTAATAAAATTACACAAGCCAGCTGTTGCTGAAATTAAGTCTTAAACAGTTTATGTAATTATGAATACATACGTACAGAAAGAACGCTATCTTACATTATGCTATGCATAGGATATTTTGCTTCTTGCATTTCTAACAAGTTACATAACTTTGCTATATGTGTAACACGTTTTTTTAAACATATAATGCAGACTCAGCTTTATAATTATTGAAATTTTGTTTTCGGAAATCGTCCGGAACGCGTCGTGGATAGGTAGTTGAAAGGTTGATAGGCGTGGAATAAATTTGGGCGATACCGTTGATCGTTGGACGATCAAGAGCTGGTGAACCGAGAGAGGTGCACCGGCTCCTCGCAGGCCGAGAGGCTCGTTAGCGCGGGCCCGTAAATCAAGCCGCAGGGGTGCCAACCCGCTAATATTACCGGGGTTCCTTCGGGATAGGAGGAGCACGTTCGCGCCGCCGACGCGCACAGTAAACGTTCGATATATCTCATCGATAATGAGTTTGTTAAATGGATTAATATTCCACTTTCTCTTTTCCATCCTTCCGCCATTCGAACCGATACCCAGCTTGTATTCTAGATACTCGTTTTCTCAGTTTCTTTCTTTCTTTCTTTTCTCTATGGCTAACATAGAATATTAAGACCGTTCAAACAGGAAATATTGAGAGAAGATTGAGACAAAGGTCCGTTTCATTCTCTAATTAGTTGGAAAACATTTTAACGAGCATATATCTTTATGACTAACATAGAATATTAAGACCGTTCAAACAGGAAATATTGAGAGAAGATGAAGAGACAAAGGTCCGTTTCATTCTCTAATTAGTTGGAAAACATTTTAACGAGCATATTATTTCAGACATGTCGCATGATACACATAAATATTACTCATACGTTCACTTAACATACTGCTGGAAACTACTCTACGAATAAATTGCATAAAGCAAAACTTATATGTTATTGTACTGCGCACGATTCTTACAAGACGTAATAATTGGCGAATCGGTAAAACGAGTTCGTAAACTTGCACGCATTTAGTAGCAATCGATTATCGAGAATATCGTTCGAATCGTATAGAATCTGGTGCGCTCCTGGAGGGCAGGATAACTCGTATATACAGCCGGATAATTAATGAAGCCGGTAATGAGCTGATTATTATTAATAATATTTAGTCGGGGTTAAGCCGAGACGACCCCGCCGTGCTGGAGCCCGGCTGCCCGTTAATTGAATCTGCCAATCATCGTAATGAGCGTCAGCGCCAGATCCGCTGTCCGTTTCTTCGTTGTTGCTCCTTAGGGCCCCAAGCTTGATGCTCGTTGCTTTCGAAAAACGAAACATACGTATGCGCGCGTTCTCTCCTCTCTTCTCTTCGCTGCGCAATCCTATCCTAAGAAATGTGAGCAATTTTCTTTACCGGTCGCCTTTCGAGAACTTTGATCGATATCGCGAACCTCGTCTAGACCCTCTCGAGTAATTGTTGCCATCTGTTTTCATTAATTATAACTGCGCGCGAATCCATCGTTTTCTGAGTAGTTAACGTTATTCGAATCGTTCGTGCAAGTAGCTGCGAATCGATCCGCGTTTACAGTGAAAAATTACATTTTGTATCGCGTATCGAAACTGATGAAAAGAATATTAGAATGCTTATACAATTAGTGCTACTTTAAAAGGATTTTCTTTTGTCTTTAATATAGAATTTCGAAAAATGGAATTCTTTTACTCTTTACTCGATTGAAGGTCAACGATAGAAGTAGTTGCGATAAGTGAACAAGGGACAAATATTCGTGCTCTTACGACGATAAGAAAGTGCCTCGGCTCCCAACCTGAACATTGGTTTTCGCTCTGGAACCTCGGGAATGTGTCCTTATCTCCTAGCTTTTATCGTTCGAATCAAGGATTTCCGGTAATGTTTGTGAACCGGGATAATAATCCGAGGATAGTTCTATCCCATCTTTTGTCTTAATACGCTGTCTAGTTTAAGTTTAAACGACAGCTTTTCTGAAGTGGTGACGGAAATCATGATAATTACAGTTTACGTAATGAGTT